GTATAAACAACTGTGTTAAATCATTTTCATTTATTCAGAAGACACAGCACTGCGCACCGTAACCTGAAAAAAATCTTAGAATACGAAAACATTGGTGAATGCCACAAATTCTCCTAAATCACTCGTACGCACAATTTAAGAACAAATCTGTGCGTACGAATGGTTCTTGCATGAGGCCCATTCTCTCTGAGCTGCTGTTTGGATGTTACCTGCCTCCCACCTTCATATTTACTGTATTTCGGTTCTCAATAAAGGCTGAGGTCCGGAGGGGATGGGGGCATGAGTTTCTCTCCTGTTATGCCTGTAGCAACCAATGATGCAGAAGTATTCCTTACAGCATGAGATGGTGAATTGTAATGCATGAAGATGATTTGAGTCATTTTCATACCTTGTCCAAGACATTTAACTATTTCACATTTTTTGGCACCAGAGAGATCCTTTAATTTCTCTTATTACTTGAAAATGGTGGTCTGTGGAACTTTCTTTCTTCTTCAGTGTTTTTTCTTTATTTGGGCTCACCTGGCAAACAAATCACTGATTTCAGTGATCCAAAGAGCCCCAGGACACAGTAGCATCTAGGAGTTTAACTGAAAAAAAAAAGTAATCTTTATGACACGTAAAAATAATTTCCATAATAATGTAGAATGCTGTGTTATAATTCCACAAACTTTAATTTTTTTACTCTATTTGCAGGYATTTACAGCCAAAGTGCTAAGTGGTTTTCCAGTTAAAGTCACATGGATGGTTGACGATTTGGAGGAGTCTGTGCATGAAGGTGAATTTTACAGCATCATGTTCGAGAAACCTGCAGAGCATCAGCTCCAGGTAAACATTTTTGATTTCTAAATTTGCTTATATGTTGAATATGTTGTAATTAACCTGATAACAATAAGTAATGTTAAAAACAAAATGACACAGATGTCTTCAAACTTCTTCTAGGTGATGGCATCAAATCCTGTGAGCTCCCAGAGCCTCCAGATCCTCCTGACGACTGACGTAAAGGCACCACTGACTGAACCGCACTTCCTGTTTGACCTGGAGGCTGTAGCTGTAAACGTTCTTCACCTCTACACTGTAAGAGTCAGAGTGGATATCTCCCTTCCACTTACCTTCAGGCAAGGACTTCTCAAATACACTTTTCAATAAAAAGCATGTTTTTTTCTTGTTACAAACTATCTCTAAAAATCTTAAACAAAACAAAGTTGGTCTGTAGTTTTTGCACAAATAACTTAACCTGTGGCATGTGCTTCTTGCCATGCAGATGGGATTTTGGGGATGATAGTGAAGGCATCATTCACACACAGTCTGCTCCATGTCGGAACATGGATGGACTTGTGAGAGGAGAAAAACAGGTCTATGTTCAGGACTCAGTGAATCACACTTATTACGTCCCAGGTAAACACACTTTGAAAGAAGTACTTATAGATAACAACAAATCTGTTTTATGTGCATTATTAAATGAGTTGCATTTACTGAAACAGAGAAACTTTAATTTGTAGGCACTTTTAAAGGGTGGTCTGTGTAAAGATTTTGAAGAAAGAGTATCTTACCTGTTGCAGATAGCTCTTAGAACAGCATCAGTTTGGAAACATAGAGTTTAGGTGTGACAAGAATGTTGAGCTGACAGCTAAATGTGGCTCAGATCAAAGTGGATTGCTGTCTTTTAAAAACAGCTCCAATTTGCAAAATCTAGGAACAGTTCTTGTTAAAGCAATATTTACATTTTACACAGCTGTTAAATTCAATTTTTAGGATTAATTAAATAAAATCTTACAGTTAATGTTTTTGAATGTGCTTAAGGTGACAGCAGCAGCAGCTAGCTGTAACACATYAGATGCAGCCTGGGTCCATTAAAAATTGAATATTTCTGACAAAATAACCATGTAATGTTGTTTTGACTGTGGCTTAAAAATGTCACAATCTGTGTCTTTTTGATTAATTTTATTATTGGGGTTTACTTCCTTTGTGTAATCATGGTTGTTCTTTTAGTTTTATAATTCTTGTGTTTAATTCTGTTCCTTGTGTTTTCATTTGATTAATCTTTGTGTATTACTTCGTGTTATCAGCCACTGTCCCCTCAGTTAGTACTTTTCCACTCATTTACACTTGGCCCCTGTTTCCATCAAGTCACAGTTGCAGCCACTCAGCACATCAGCCCTGGTCTACAGTATATAGTCAAATAGTTTTCACTACATCCTTAGTCAAGCATAGTTTGTGCTTTTTTGCCATGTCAGGTTCTCCTTTGTGTTTTCTCAAATTTAACACACAATAATAACACAAATGTTATTATTTAAAGCTTTACAACAGTGTCTTTGTTACATTACACAGTGATTTCAGCAGAAATATTATACTTTTCCAGACAGATTTGACCACAGGCTGCACTGAAACTTTAACTTCTTGCAATGATTGATGTTATTTGCATTTGCAAAGTAAAACATGGAATTATATGTAAATAACTGTGTTAATAAACTGAAGATTGTGTAAATGTCTATGGAATAGCATTCGCATAAACTGCTTTGAATTTTTGATGATTGGAGCTGTTTTAAGTAATCCTTTAGTCTTGGGCATGTTCAGACTAGTCATTCACTCATACGTCCAGTTAGAATAAAACTCTATTTTCCCATACAGAGCTATCTACATCAGGTAAGATTTTTCCCCCATTTCAATTCTGTTTTTGTTACAACTTATAAATATTTCAGGTTTATTTTCACTTCAAAATAACCTTGTTGGCAAAAATCAAAGTAATTAGTTTTTTAGTAAATGTTTTATTTGTTATTTGATTTATTTCAAAATGCCTACTTAATATCTGTGGCTTATATTATTGACACTATACCATTTTTATAAAGTTGGATTGTGGAAGTGTTGGTGTTGATTAACCCAATATTAAAATGAGAAATCATCCCTCCATATTTAATTTTGACATTTCAAATCTCATTCATGTAGAATTTTAAACTATTTCTTTAAATTCTATTCTGTTTTGTTTACGTCATTTTATCTGTGATTTACACATTCCATTAGATTCATTTAGTGGTGGTTTTATAGATTGACACTGTGGTAAATTTATCTATTCACCTTTACTATTCAACACCACCGAGTAAAATGGTCTTCTTCTATTACTCTTCCAGGAAACTATACTTTTACGGTTCAAGTCTCTGATCAGTTTGCCAGCACCAGTTCATCCATGAYGATCAGTGCTCGCCCTCAGCTGACTAGCCTCCTAATTCTACCTTCTACTTTAACTCCGCTTGTGAAGGGAATCCTTCATCTGGAAGCTTCCATCAAACCATCCTCTTCTGGCATCCTCTACACTTGGGACTTTGGCGATACCTCTAAATATGTTCAAGGTTTGGATCAGAGAGTCAGTCACAGCTTTGTATCTGCAGGAGTTTATAACATCACTGTATCTACCAACAACATTGTTTCTTCTCTTACTGCCTCACTTGTCGTGGTTGTCATGGAGGAAATCTCTGGATTAACTGTCACACACGGTGGAGCAAGTGAAGCAGGATCTCCTATGGATTTCAGAGCTACAGTTGCCTCTGGCACTAGTCTCATTTGGGATTTTGACTTCGGTGATAAGTCTCTGCTGGCAAACCTTACAGATGGATCCATCTCCCATGTCTATATGTTTCCAGGGAGCTACAAAGTTGGCGTGGCAGTTTCTAACCCTGTCAGCCATGCTCACCAGTCTGTCACTGTTGAAGTTTACAGTTTGACTGTCAGTGGAGTTCTCCCAACAGAATGTGTCATGAGTGGAAAAGCCATACAGCTAAGAGCTCAGGTGAATGGAAATATTTCTGCTCTGAGTTTCCATTGGGCTTTTGGGCGAGATTCACCTTTAGTTGTATTGACTGGACAACCAACAGTCATGCACACATTTCCAAACCCCGGGATATTTCGCATAAATATGACTGTGTTTAGTTCTATTACAAATGTATCATTTATGACAAGCATCTGTGTTGAAAGTCCAGTAACTAAAGCTGAGTTGCAGATATCACAGGATGTTGTGGCAGTAGGAGAACAGGTGTGCCTTAGTGTGTTGGTTTCCCCCAAACAAACTACAGCTTACCAGTTTAAGTGGTTTAATAGCTCCTCTGGTCTTGTTGACACTACAGAAAACTCTCAGAAGTGTTTTATCTTCAGAAGTGAAGGTGTTGAAGAGTTGTCTGTACTCGCAAGCAACAGAGTCAGCAACAAAACGGCCAACGCTACTATCACCATTCAGAAACCGGTTAGGAATCCCATTATTGCACATGATAGTCCAAGTGAAACACTCACAGTCAATACGTCAACGTTATTTTGGGTTGCTAGTTGTGTTGGCAGTAACGTGTCATTGCTGTGGGACTTTGGAGATGAATCTCCTGTGGAGAAGCAGCCAAATGTGTCCCACGTCTTTACCTCAGTTGGTAAATTCACAGTCACCATCACAGCATTTAACTTTGTCAGCCAGGACTCTGCAACCCTTACAGTGAATGTCGCACTTCCTGTTTCAGACCTTTCACTACACACTGATGAACTTTATGCCATTGTAGGGAAGGAAATTGTTGTCACAGCAGTTAGCAGTACTCCTAGCATCATTARCTACTACTGGACAGTAGAAGGTAGACCCACAACCAAACAGGGGACTTATCAATTCCGATTTATGTCTTCCAAACCAGGAGTGTTGAAAGTGAAGGTCATGGCATCAAATTTAATCAGTAAAATGGAGGCAGCCATCTTTATTGAGGTTTTTGAAAGAATAGATGGTCTCCATATAGAATGTCAAAACCTTACCAGCAATAAATATTTACCTACTCTTGAGAAAAATGTATTTAGTGCTTCAGTAACCAAAGGCTCCAACATCACTTACTACTGGAACGCGACACAGAGTGGAGTAACCCGACAAATACAAGGTGATGGAGAGCTTTTTCATTTGATGGCTGAATCTCCTGGATGGATTTCAGTTCAGGTTAAAGCCTCAAATGTCCTAAGTGAGGTTGTTGCGAGTGCTTCTTTTGTGGCAGTAGAGTGTGTAACAAATGCACACATGACAACACAATCAAACATTGTGGCACTGGGGGAAGCAGTGAATATGACTGTATTTGTAAACACTGGTTCAGACATGCAGTACCTTTGGTATGTGAATACCGATGTGTCACCATTGCTGACTCATAAGCCCTTTTTACTCTACACCTTTTCAAATCTGGGACAAAACTTAGTTACAGTTACAGTTCAGAATGTTTTAAGCCAGAGTAATTACACCAAACAGGTTTTGGTTCAAGCTGAAGTCCAAGAAGTATATATTGAAATCAATAGACAAAAACATCCATTTTATTTCAATGTAAGTACTTCTCTTTCTTTTCAAGGGTTTGCCCATAAAGGCAGCAATCTGCACTGGGCCTGGAAAGTTAAAAGGGCCAACAAGACTCTTTTAGCCTTCAATAATCAAACATTTACACACAGCTTTTCAGATATGGGCATCTATGAGGTGTACTTGAATGTCTCCAATGAGATAAGTTGGCAGAGTGATTTGCACAGGGTCATTGTTCAGGAACCAATCGAAGGTTTTATGTTGAGCATTAGCAAAACCTCTTTGTGCACTCAGGAAGAAGTTGTGTTTATTCCAACATTAGCTAAAGGAAATAATGTGAGCTTTGTTATAATGTTCAAAAACAAAGACTGGATTCAAATTTTGGACATCTTTGAAGATCAATTTACCACAAAAAGTCTTCCAGCTGGCAAATACTTAGTTTCAGTGAAAGCTCTTAACCAGGTCAGCAGTGCTGAGACATCCAGTAGCATTATAGTAATAGAGATCATCCAAGGTTTGCATCTTGTTAACTGTTGTGCTACACTACAGGCTTTGAAAGTAGCCACTTTTAAGGCAGAAGTTCAAAGTGGCTTTTTAACAAATTATACATGGATGTTTCAGTTGGGAACTGGTGAATCCATGTGGCTAATGGGACAAGAAGTTGTCTTTACACCATCAGAGGATGGTTTGTTGTCTGTTACTGTGCATGCTAGTAATGGTGTGTGTTCTCAGACAATAAATGATACTCTAACAATTGAGTGGCCTGTTAAAAACCTCCAACTTGTCTGCCAATCACAGAGGATATTTGTTGGATATGCTGTCAGGTTTTTAGCCTCGGTAAATCATGCCACTAATGTCAGATACATTTGGGATTTTGGAGATTCCACTGAAATATTAGTGACAAACTCACAGACTGTTAGTCATATGTATTATTCCAAGGGGAGATACAGTATTTTGGTCAAAGCTCTCAACAATGTTAGCCATGTTTCTACACAGCTAGAAGTGGAAGTGGAGGAGTTTCAGTGTTCCAGTCCAAGAGTGTCACTGGTCCAGATCCAGCCCACAGTTTTTCGATCTAGGCTGAATTCATTCGAAGCAACTGTGGACATTAACTGTTCTGTTTACAAGACCATCTACCTGTGGGAAATTTTTAAGCAAGCATGTCATATCAATGAAACTAAAAGCCAAAGGAACTGGAAGGATGCTGATTCACCGTTTCTCTTACTTCCAAAGAATACTCTTGATGTAGGGCACTATTGCCTGGTATTCACGGTGTCCTTCAAAGAAACTCCTATACTTGTTCAACAAAAAACAAACATCACAGTGGTTCACTCCCCTTTGGTAGCTGTCATCAAGGGAGGCTCCTACATACTGTGGCCCAACGTCAGTGATCTTGTCATGGATGGGTCTGAGTCTTATGACCCAGATGTGGAACTTGGAGTGGATGATCCTCTGGAGTATCGCTGGGCCTGCTTAATGATGGTAAATGTTGATGTTTTAGCCTCTTTAATTTCATGCCACTATGAATATAATTGAAAGTAGCAAAGTTAAAGTAGGTTTTGACTTTAGTTAATTATGTCACTCTTATATTTACAGAGCTCCCCAGAGTCTTCTTTAAAAAGACAGTCCATAGAGAGCACAGACAAGAGGATGACTGTATTCAAATCTCAGCTGCTCCCAGGCACAGTCCACATTTTTACACTCACTGTCTATAAAAATGGGAGAAGACCAGTTTCTGTCAATCAAACGGTGAACATTGCTAGTATATGACTTAGCAATTATGGTGCATTCACACCGAACGCGATTTCAGCATCAGGAGCCTCAGGTTTACATACAAAGTCTATGGTGGACGCGCTTCAAGCAGCGTCGGGAAGTGCTGCAGCGCCTCAAGCGCGATTAGAGCAGCGCGATTTGAACGATTTGAACGATCTGAGCGTTCGACGCACTGAGGCGCAAATCGCTGAAGTTAGAAAATCTGAACTTTTGCAGCTCGTCGCGCCGCGTCAACCAATCAGAGAGACTCCACTGTGTGACGTAGCAACTTATTTCCCGACGGGACAGTTTACTGAATGATGYCCACTAACCTGAAACAGATGGAGAGGAGCTCTTTAGCTGAAATGAGTGCCTGCAGTCGGTGTCCTGACAGGATATATCCTCACCAATGCGTGGCAGCAGCTCATCAGACTGGAAAAATAGTCCTGAAAGCGAGCTGTGAGCCTCTACTCTGAATTATCTGGTGAATTAATTATGAATTAATTATCTGATGAACGTGACATGCTCTTGCTCTCTGTAAATAAAGCAAAGCCACTTCCTCGTCCGACATTAAACAGAGCCCGACAGAGGAGGGAGGGGCGGGGAGGCTCTTGCCGTGCAGCGCTTCAAGAGCTGACCTGCGTCTGACCTCAAACTGTGCACAAGCTTCAAACTTCAGCGTTGGCTGCGATTTTGAAGCTGAAATCGCGTTCGGTGTGAACGCAGCATAAGTATTTTTTTCTGATCTGCAGCTAAACAGAAAAGAGCAGATAAAGTTAGGTTGTAGTCTCAGTTTCTGATAAATTGTTTGAAAGACATAATCAACAATGGCAGAACTTATTAAGAAGCATAACTCTACTCACTGTAGAGCATAGCAGAGATAATGTTCCTTCAATACAGACATTTCAGAATTGGGTTTTAAAACTGTGATGTCTTATCTGTTTTAGGTAACTGTGACAGAAGCTTCAGCAATTCCTGTGATGGTAAAATGTGTTTCCTGTTCTGTTATTTCCTCCATTCACCACATCACTTACAGCAGTCCGGTTGTACTTGTTGGACAATGTGGACTGTGTGATGATCAGGCTCAGGTAATAACGTTGTCCTCAACATGCACACTATAAAAATATATTGTATTTCTTAACCTTTTAACAATGAATACTATATTTTAAAATACTACAATTAAACCATATAATAGTTGCATACATACAAGGTTTGGTCTTTCTGTTTTTGACATTTTGTCTTATAAATAGATGCCTTCATCAATTTAAAATTCTGATTTTTTATTGTCCTCTGACATGAAAGACAAAAATAACTATAGTTGTAGAAGCACATTATAAATGAAAATTAGTCAGTAAGTTTTAAAGTTACTGAGCTACAATTTGGTACAGTGTTAGATGAGAGTCATTCCCAACACACTGCAATGTCGTCTGTCTTTGAAAAAACTGTCTAGTGAACAACTGAATGCAAAAATAATAATAATTCACTCAATGTACAACTGAATGATGTCTGCAGTTTATAAAGCACTTATAGTTTATAAAGTTTATAAAGTGGACAAAAACTAGACGAAAACAAGAGCAATCAGAGGAAACAGTGTGAGATATTTGAAATGCGAGTGAGACTGAATGAAAGTGTGCTCTTTCATTAAGTCTTGCTCGCATTTCAAATGTCTCGTACTGTTTACACAGACGTACTGAGAGTGTGCATGAGGCCGATCCAGGCTCAATGTTTTACAAAATGAAATAAAAAGAGAAAAACTGGAAGATTGTGACAACATAGCAGTAACACAATTGATGCATAACTTTGATAAACAGTCTAAGAGAACAAAACAAAATGGGTCTTTCAGTTGGTCTCACGCACTGTTTTCTTTGATTGCTCTTGCATTTTTTAATCCAGCTTTTGTCCACTTTGGTGCTTCACAGCAGTTAACCTAATGCAAGATGGCAACCATGGCTACTCAACCTCAGCAAAATCATAAATAGCCATAATTAAAAAATGTTACAGATATTGAGATAAAATTTGGTGGGATAGCTGAAAGCTCCCCTCAGCACATACTCAGAGCACAGATTGGGCTAAACGTTTGTTTAAAGCTTTGGCATCCAAGGTGGGGAACCTTAAAGGGGGTTATTATGTATTTTTCAGACACAAATTTAAATTTTACATAGTAACTACTGTATGTTACCTTCAGTTGTTTTAAAAATGCTGTATATATACAAAATGCATTTGACTTTGCATCAAAGCCTCTCTAAATGCCTTGAAATTGCCCTCTGTCTCTTTAAGAACTTTCTACCATCTTTACAACAATGCTTTGAGGGAGGGAAGCTTTGTGTGGCAGGAGCTCAGCTGCAGACTGAGCTCCAGGGAGAATCTTTGTGTAAATAGGCAGTGCTTTGTACAAGCAAGCGTTAAGGCAGCTYCAAATGGCTACTACAGGAGATTCAAGGATTTCTCAAACATGTATAATGAGTCAAAGCAACACTTTGGGTATATTTTTTGATGAGGGAATAACATTGTAACATGACATAAAGCTAAAAAAAAGTTGATTTTGCAAAATACCCCCCTTTAAGCATTCTTTTATTCAAGGAATGCTAGTTTTATTATGTTCAGTATGTAATAAGCTGTTAATAATTGCATTCAGATTTCATTTACAGTGCTTTTTTTTCGCAGTACAACTGGAGAGCTGAAGACCAGAGCTGCCTGACGCTTGACCTCAATGACATCACAACCTCCACAGGAAGAGGTTCACCAAAGTTGGTGGTGCGTTCAAGTGTCCTGCAGCCAGGTTGTAGTTATTCCTTTGTCCTGAATGTGTCCCAGCCTGGCAGCAGGCGGTGGGGGGGAGCCAGCTTGACAATACAGGCCAGTGGTCCACCACGAGATGGCGTATGTCAACTAAGTCCTGAATCACAAATACGATTGCTGGAGACTGTCGTCACTTACAATTGTTCGGGTAACAATGATTTTTATTTTATTTTATTAACAATCTGGTCTGAWATGTTTACTTTTATGTTATAAACAYCATATTGGTTCTGTCAACATTGGAAGGATGGCAAGATGATGAAAGCGAGACCTCTCAGCTGATTTATACTTTCCAAGTGGCACCATTCCAACTCTCTAGCCCTATTTACCCTGTGCTCACTCTCTACAGGTGATTCAATCATCTCACAATTACTTCACTGTTAAATGTTGGTAAATTCACATTAATATTAGCATGTTATTTTCTATCATTATTTTCCCCTAAGGGGTACTCGCTCAACATTCAGCTGCTTGGTTCCTATGGGAAGTCCTGGGCCTGAAAAAAACACAACAGTTATCACAGTTACAGTACTGATAGAAAACCATCTGGGGGCAAAGATCACAGCTCTGAACAGGTAATTTTAAAAGTCATATTGAAAGAAATTTTGTGACTGATTAACTGAATTTTTAGATACAGTCTAAGATCTATTTTTTGTGATTCATTTTAGTTATTTACTGTACTTTCAACAGGTAGAGAATCAGCAAGTCTCTAAATAATAAGTGTCTCCTTCCCGCAGGATAAAACATAAAACTGTTTATACAGTACATTCCTCTGCTGATGTAAGAAGGACAGCCCCTAGGAGTGTTACCAGGGTGTTCTTTAAAAGTTTTGGTTCAGTAAGCACACATAGACTTAAGCTAATCAGCAGCAGAAGTTAGAAGCTATTGCAGTTTTGTGTTCTGGCTACACACATTGGTGCTGAGTGAGATGGAATTTTTAGATCTGAGAACAAACATTTTTACTGGAAACTGAATAGTTGTCCACGCTTTTATTCAGGCATCCAACTAACAATCTCTATGTCAAGTTTTTGTGAACTCTCACACTGTCTTGATGCTTCTGTTCTTCAGAACACTGGTAGTTGAGAATCCTGTTAGTAACAAAGCTGATGATCAGTGGCTCCGCAACAAAAGCCAGACAGACCTGTGGGCCCTGGTCCAACACGCCAACCCTCAGGAGATCATCCCTTATTCTATTGCTCTCATCAGCACACTTAATCAGGTAAGCTCTAAGRTCTTATTGCCATATGTCAGAGAATTAAATAATCCCTTAAGTGGATGACAATTATTTAATTTTCTCTTAATCAACAGATGAAGTTTGGGGATTCTGCAGAGGAGTTCTCAATTAGGAGGGAGATCAGGGAAAATGTGACCCAAGCTCTGATCTCTGTTCGTGTGTCCTCCCTACATGATGTTGACCAGCTCAGCTCAGCACTCACACAATCTACTGTGAGAAACCAGTGCAGTGTTTCTAAACTTTAATCTCAACTATCCAAATGGCATACTAATCAGCATTATTATACTGAAGGGTGACCCAGGAAYATAAAAATACAAATAGATATTTTCATATGAACATACTGTATAAAACTATGACTGAAAATCACTGAAGATCTCTCCCATGTTTCTTTAACTAACTTTACTTTTATTAAAATTACACATTTTCTCCATTTCAGGCAGTTCATAGTGAGCTGACATCTCAAAGTGTGAATGAACAAGTTTTGAAAGCTGTAGGACAAATGATCCACGTGATAGACCAGAGTACTAGTCCCACAGATTTGCCAGCTTTAGATGTAGGAAGAAACATCCTTGATATTATAGGTGAAGCTGATCACACACACACACTTTATATATACATATACATATATATATAGGAATCAAAATGACCTAATTTCCTCTGTTTCTCCAGGTAGGACCATTGCTGCTGTGTCGGAGTCAAGCCGTGTTTCCAGTTCTCACCCAGCCAGTTCAACAAGTCTACAGGCAGTTTCTGTAGTCACAACAGCACTGAGCCATGCTGGAGCCTTAATGCATGCTCTTACACATGCACAAGCTCTGAGCAATGCAGCCCTTTCTTTTTCYAACAGTTACATCAAGACACTTGGTTTTCTTGGAGATCCGTTGGAACTTCTTTGCTGTCAMCAATCWAACCAGTCTAATGGTAACCCGCCTRCACAGTCCTCATCAAATGACAGACTTAAAAGATCTCACTTGTGTCCATTCTTAATCCCCACCTCCCTCAGTGCTCATGTAAGGAGTCAAAGTGCTGAGGTGGTGCAGGTAGTGGTTGGTATGGATGGAGCGCTGGAGTCTAATCCTTTGCTGAGTGCATCCAACCCTCCCATCTCCACCACTGTGGTTGCCATGGAGCTCACCACCCCTCAAGGCCAGCCCATACCTATCCAGGACTTGGACTCAGAGCAAGCCATCCAGGTCACCCTGCAAAACAGTCGCCCTATGACTCAGGGTGATGAAGGTGAAAATGAGAGAGAAAGGGAGGACAGGAATGGAACATGTCTCAGAGTGATGCTCCCAAATGAAGGACAGCTGAATTTCACTGTGAAGACTCCAGATGACCTGTATAAAAATGCAGGTTTATACATCTCCTTCAATTTTAGCCTGACTCCAGGTACTTTGAGCTTTGGCTCCAAGTTACACAGATATTTACAAAACATGTTATTGCACAACTGTGCCATTGCCTTAGAGAGGGCCTTTGAATGACCTAAATTTGAATAAATAGTGTTAAAACCTKTCTGAATTGATGAGCTGAAACCAAAGTGGATTGCAGCCAACAACTCAAAAATTACAGAGCAGCTCATGTGAATATTGTTTTTATAAACCTTTACACCAATGCCAATTTCACACTACAATGCTATTCTAGCATAAATAATTTGAAATTTCTGCTATGGGCCCAGGCTGCACAGAAATTGYTACAGCTATTCTGATGTTTATTGGTCTTACAGGCAACCACAAAAATACAAGTAAATAACTATGTCATGCAAAACTGCAACATATAAAAGTTTATAAAATTGCTTTTGTGTGAAAATTTGTACAATTTCAGAAATCAGAGTTATTTTTAGACCTCAGCAATCCACTTTGGTTTTGACTGTAATCAGACTAGTTGTTAGCTTGTAAGTCTGATCTGAAATAAAGTATTTTTCCATAAACTAAGGTAAGTCAAACAGCCATTTACAACAGATATAATATTGACTATTTATAAACKTTTGACAGAACCCCACTTCAAATAATTGTCTGTAAAATCCAATTAGTTATCATTACTTTAATAACTTTACTCTTTTTTTTTACTTTACTCATTAATAAAAKAGTTTATTTACCTGGAGCACTACAATTTGCCTAGGAAAAACTACAACACATGATTCAACAAATCCAGCCATAATGTGACAAGAGCAGACTAAAACCCTGCATCTCATTTTTTATAAATGTTGAAATCAGGTCAAAGTTACCTGAAGACAGAGTTGCAGCTGTGTACTTAACCAGTTAATTTCTGTTGTGTTAAAGCAAATTATGTAATTGTGTTGGGGG